AAAATTATATTTTGCGACAACCTTAGACTGTGTTGGAATCCCTTTTTCTTCTTCTAATTAGCCAAAACTATTAACGTCGAGTGTTCCTAGCTCAAAATTTGAAGTAGTTTTGAAGAAAATTTATTAAAAAATAAATGAATAAACACATAAATAACAATACCCGGGTGACTTCTTTGACAGCCTCGATGTCGACAATTGATGCTTCACTTTCATTGATAGGCGGAAATAAATAAGCAGGTAAGTTTTTTTGGAACCATTCGTGCTGACTGGAGTAAATAAGATTAGGAAATACTCAAATTAGTCTAGAAATTTCTAAAAAAACCTTACATTACGTCTTTGATGGTTGCCCTTTTCATTGGGTCAACTTGAAGCATATGAAGTAACAAATTAACCAACGATTTCTCAAGATAATCCGGAATGGGAAATATGCCAGCTAAAAAGTAAGGAAACATTACTGTCAACATCCAAAATTACGATAGTAAAGAACTGATGCATATTAAAATACGAAACTTACATTTAATTTTCCTGAATAAAGTTGGAACATGTTCATCATCAAAAGGCAGTGTACCACATAAAAGGGCATATAAAATTACGCCACAAGACCAAACATCAACTTCAGGTCCGGCATAAAGCCTATGGAAAAACTAGACTTCACAATTTCACTGGTGATGTCACTACACTTCTCCGGAAGAATCATGAAGCATTTTTTGAATTTTTATTTCAGAATTATCTTTTACCGCCCGGTCTTCCCCAAAAAAGCAAGAATGAATTGCTAAGGTCAAATTTCGTCTAAAAAAACCATAAAAGTTAAACAGGTCACATACTTGCCAGAAATCACTTCTGGTGCTGCATAATTAGGACTACCACAACTGGTACGTAAAAAATCACCATCTGTCATTATATTAGATAACCCTGAAATTTTCGTTTAACACTAATATACTTTACAAGCAAGCACAAATAAGCAGATAAATCAATGACAACAAATAAAATGAATATTCTACAGACAGAAGAAATTTCATCTTTCTCACCAAAATCTGCTATCTTAACATTATTCTTATCATCAAGTAATAAATTTTCAGGCTTCAAATCCCTATGAACAACCATATGTCGGTGACAGTAATCAACACCCGAGATGATCTGCTGGAAGAATCTCCGGGCTTCCGCTGTCTTTAACTAAAAACAATAAGATGGGTAAGCGGAAACCTTAAGAATGTTGAGCCTGCAAATTTAAAATATGGGGTAAAATTTCTATCTGCATCAGCTTAAATTGCATACCCTCCCATGATTGACGATGTAGTCAAACAGCTCACCACCAGATACGTACTCCATGATCATGAAAATATCCGTTGGCGTACTGATAACTTGGTATCTACGAAGAAACAATAAAAAGAAAATTAAAAAATGAAATAGGTGGAAAAAAGAAGATGGATCACGAGAAAACTTACAAGCGTATAATGTGGGGATGTCGAAACAGGGAGAGGTTTTGTATTTCTCGTCTGATTTTACCGACAACATCCAAAGATTTAATTTTCTGGCGATTTAAGATTTTTACAGCAACTTTGTAACTAGTGGCCTCATGAATGCCAACTAAAAATGTGCTCCTTTAGAAGAACGACTTTAACTATATATCCATAACCCATTTCTGTCATAATTAAATCACAATTTAGGCGGCAAATTCGCTGTGCCCCTTAATTAAAACAATACATATCGTTTTTCTTGGCCTGCACACTTTCGTACAGTCCATCCAGTCCACTTTTAACACATTCAAGAGCCCCAAATCTACTTCAAACTGCGCAGGTAAATTTACAGTTTTGAAGTCAACAATAAAACAAACAAAAAATATCCAGTCCTTTCGTCACCGTAACGGTAAGGCAAGATATGGAGAAAAAAGTTACTGTCATTAAATGAGGACCAAAGCTACCCAAAATCAACCAGAGTCAATATTAAAGAAAAAGTTATAGGAAAATTTAAAGTTGTTACCTTTAACTTTCCCAAACGTACCAACCCCAAGTGTTTGCTGTAATATATAGTGTCCGATTTTAATCTGAGGTTTCGTTTCCCGATCTTGTTTAGACAGCTCAGTAGAAGCCATCTTTCTAAATAAAAAGGACTGCAGTGGTATTGTGTAAGAGATACAAAGATCAAGTTGAAGTTAGGACCAGATCAGTGAAAAAAAAAAGGTATCGGACAACAGTTTACAAAAACTCATTTGAAATAGATTTTAAAAAATCATTATCTTAATAAGAAAGGAATCTCTAGAAACAAAAAATAAAAACTTTCAAAGTAAAGGTAAAAATTTTACTACTAAACAAAAAATAATTATAGTCTTGAGATTTCTCTCTTTCAGAAGTCGAGCAAAATACAATAAAAATCATCAAAACCATAAGAAAAGCATAGATCTCAAACAATAAACAGAGAAGGAGACTTTCATCAAAGCTTCAGTAACATCAAATAAGCGTAAACACCTTCAAGCAAATCTAATAAGAAAACATTGAACGCTAATGCTTTGGAGAAATACAGCAGTATAATTTTGCATGTTCTGGAACGCAAATAAGATGGTTCTGTCCGCATTTGTTCAACAGCAGCCAATGCCATAAAACATTATACGTACTGAAGGCAAAGAAGTAATCTGTAGTATAAAATCTCAAAGCTTCAACAAAGGCACCGCAGTACAAGCTTAAGCGACACAACTCCAGAAGTCGCCATATGACTATGCACCGCTCCTCCGCCCGAACATGTTTTTTCACGTGGAGTTTTAAGCAGCCCTCTACCAAGCAAAGGCACTTGATCGATGATCAGCGAAAAGTGCCTTAGTTACTGGCAATTATCCAAAATTACAAGCCACGACTTTTACAGCCCAATATAACTGAAGCCCTTTTTTCAGTCATGGCACTAATCTGCGCCATGTTACCTCGGCACTTTTGGACGAATTGCTCTAGTTTGTACCCCATGATATAAACGCCAACAAGTACAGGTTTTAGCGTTTTGAATGGGTTGAAGTTCAACGATCTCGATAACTCAAAATAGTACGACTTCTTGATATATTGGCGTTCGGTGGTTCGGGATGTTTATTATAACTATTCCTTTGATAAATCTAGTAGAATTGATCTTTAAGTTATACCTAAAGCTAATTAGGTTTTACTACTTTGCTAGTCACCGCGAATTTGTAATCACTTAGAAAAGTTTGATTCCTAGGCGGTCGCATCTTTACTTTTGTCAAAAAATTTCATTAACGTCATAAAAATTCAACAGATAGTTGTTGGGGAACTTTCTGCCAGATCGTCATCAGAATTTGGAACCAGGTAAAAGTTTCAAAATTGGGGAAGTACGTTGGACTCCTTTGATAAAAAGGAAAGCCAGAATGAAATTTGTTGAGGAATGTTTTCTAAAAGCAACTTTTTTAATATTTCATTTTAGTTCCTAAAAAAATAAAAAAATAAATAAATTGGCAGGAAACTTGCTGCTTTGTCGCTTCAGTTTTGTTGTTATACGGGCACATTTGTTTTTGGTCTTCGCTAACCGGGCTTTTTGATTTTTGTGAGGATTAGAATTCTAATATACTTTTTAGGCTAACCAACAATCTTAATTTTTCTTCTTTGTACGAATGAGGTTTTGAGCAGGAATAAGTTTTATTTCTGTCTGTTTTATCAGTACATATATATATAAATTTTTCTGATACCTTTTTATCAGTACAGATGTAAACAAAGTACCCGATTTTTTGATATCAAGGACTAATTTAGCTCATTCACTGTGGTTTTTGGCCTTTATGAGAGTTTGAAAATTTTTTATTGTGAAGAGTTGAATAGGGGAGAAGAGGGGAAGAATGTTAAGTTTTTTTCTAGCAGGTGGTTTTAATATGTAAGTCTAAGGGTTATGTTTTAGTAAGCGTATAAAATGTTTTTTTCATATATAATTCAGAGATATGCAACCTTTATAATAATTAGTGCTGATAGGCGAGGGGAAGCAGAATTCTGTTTTACCGATCTTTAGAATCTGTTTTGTGTAAGATTCATTCAGTGAAAAACAATTTTAGCTCTTTATACAACTGCTATCTGGCTTCATTATTTTTTTTGTTATTGCTTTTTTTCAATAGTAAACTTAAAGTTTGCTGATAAAATGTTTACTTGGAACTACGAGCCTTTGCGGAGAAGCGTCGTTGCAGTGACTTGACTCTTTCGAGTCCACCAGGTTGACTACGGCTTTTTTCCTTGTCGGAGCTTTTCAACAGAAACGAATTCTCGAACATATTTGCGTTATTAGCTATGTGAAATGCATGTTCTGAAATGAACTTCTTGGTCGGTCGTTGATGAATACGTTACCTGAAAATTATTCACATGTGCATTAATGATATCATTTTTCCTTTAAATAAATTTGAAGTTTTCCAATCACTGTGGTGAAAAAAGAAAAAGTGTAGGTAAAAATATGGGAAAAAACCAGTTAAAAGAGTAAGAGGAAGAAAGAGAAACTTTTTTCAATATCAGACTTGGGGTGGGGAATAGTTGGATAAGTTTTTTTAAATTGCCGTTGAATTAAAGAAGAGGAAACCACCGATTGTTTATAGATACAAATTTTGCGCTGTCCAATAGTTCCTTTCTTCTTATTTTGTATTGACTAGTTACAGCTGGACAGAAGGGAAAAAAGATACTGTTTGCATTAGATAACTTTTTTTATAGTTAAGCTCGTTGCTTTGAAATCCTTTGAAGTTGGCTTTTCAGCTCTGCTGTTTTAATTAATAGAAGTACTTGGAGTTTTATATTCCTTTAAGCTAAATTAATTCTGGAGCTTAGAATAGAACGCCATCAATATGATATATTATTCATTTTTCGTTGTTTTTGCTGTAAAGTTCACTGTTGCATGAAAATGATTGGGCGATTAAAGATCTGCTGGTATTTATAGCAGGAAGAACGTGCCAGCCCCGCAATACTGTAGCTTTTATGATTGAGAAGAAACTGAAGTCCTAACTGTAATATTTTTCAACAGTTTATTTGCTATATTTTTTTTCTAATTACTAAGAAAAAAGGAAACATCTTGTATTTTAATTTTTAATGAAATTGTGTAGCAGACATTTACAAAGGACAATTAAATTGTAGAGGAGAAGGGTAAATTTTAAAAAGAAAAAAGTGAAAGGCTAGTCTTAATTAGTGGATATGATCGATAGTAACCAGCAAAAGATGAAAATGCAACATTACTCTTCTAGAAAATGAATATATCAAATTTGATGATATTTTGCAAAGGCAAAAAGAAAAAAAACGAAAGTAGTAATGAACAAGTAAATTTCAAATTTTTCATTTTTTTCATCACTGGAAAATGCACAAAATTTTTTTTTTTTTGGTCATTTTGAGTACCTTTAGCTGGTAAATCATTAATTATTATAACAAATTGCGACACGTTGTTTTAGTATTACAGCTGGAAAGAGTAATTGAAGGAAGACTATATTTATATTTATATTTATATTTATAAAATTCATATTTATATTTATATTTATATTTATATTTA